TTTGAAATTGATTTAGAGACGGCAAACATCAAATTCTCAACTAAGAAAAGTAAAAGTCCCAATGTCGCTGGCGAAGTGGGACCCATCCTTATTCGCTCGTCAGTTTCTTCGAAGTCTTGTTCTTGCTTTTCGGTTTTGGTAGCATGCCTCCAGCGCATTCGTTATGAACGCTGACGATGGTCGGTGCGAAGAACTCCTTCTTTGATCCTGGTTGAGCACCTACGCTGTCGGTTTCTTCTGAGATCTTGGTTTGGGCCTCACTTTTGGCAGCATGCTCTCAGCACATCCCTGGGGAGTGTTGATGATAGACGGTGACATGACCTCCTCTTTCGCACCGGGCTGGAATAGCTTACATGTAGCTTATATATGCTTCTATTGGTGTCTGCTCACCTACAGTAGCAAAAGAAAACAACCTGTATGGATATGTCGAAATAAAACACAGCAGTGAACTCCACCAAATCAAGCTTATCGTGAAAAAGCTCATTATATACATCATTATATCCTCCACACTATCCGTCTCACGTTGCATCCGACTCCTTCCCTTCTCCATATCTCTGCCTGCTCCGCTTCAGCATTAAGCTAAAACGAACCAAAGATGATCAGATTTTCAGAGGTTTGTTTTCGCCGAAAAATAATTTAAAAAAAATTAAAAATGGACTTTTGGTGTTTCCATTAAAAAACAGTTATTGAAACGAAGACGTTTTTGAAAAAGTATTTTAGCATTTCCAAATTTAAAGAATACTTTTTTGAAAGTGCTTTAAAAAATTGTTTTAGAAAACGTAGTTTCTTTTAAAAAAAAAAAATACTTTGAACGAGTTTCATTTTTTGGCATTGTTAGGGTATGTACTTCAGTAGTATTGACAAATATTACAATATTTAATATTAAATATTTAAATATCCAGAGCTTCCCGGGCGCAACACGGCATTAGTGAGAAAAGGAGGATTTTTCTAAAGAAGTAAGCGATACAAATTTGAAAAGTTTATCCGTGACTGAAGATTAATTCGGCAGCCTTAGTGAATTGATGGCGTACAAAGTTCGAGCTCGGAAAGTTTTCTAGAAGAATTTTTTCCTCCGGTCCCAACAGAGATAATCAATATCGTCTCTGGTTGTCGACGAGACATCAACCCTCTTAGGTGCACGCCCAACAGGAAATTCAGATCACCTCTAGAGGAATATCCATAATCCAGTACTAGTGTACTGGTTTTTGCGAAAGTGCACTCCGCAGAACTAGTACTGCCCACAGAACATGTTAAGTTCGTAATGCGAACTTAATTTATAGCATCACAGTTTATTAACGGACCAGATACTGTTCAGGCGGAAGAAATCAAACAGGGTCACCGGTGAGTTTGGTCTCTTTAGGCCCGTGCCCAAAACATGGGACAGATAATAAAAATGCTCAAATTAAGGACAGAAAAAACAAACGAAATAAATAAAAGCGGAGTATTGTAGCAGCGGAGCATTGTAGAGAGAAACTAATACAGTTTAAAAGTGTATTATAAAATATGCTATACCGCCTCATTTCCATAATAACCACTTCATGCCGCGGCAGATGGTCCTTTTACTCTACGACCACGTTGGGTAGATCTCGTCCCTGTCGTACGCTGTGTTGCGCGCTCTTGGCGGCTTCCTCGACGTGCTTGGCCCTGCTGCTGGCTCTGTGCTCTACCCTGTTGTCGCCGTTGTAATCCTTGGCGGGTTAGTTGAACTGGTACAGGGAGCACAACAGCTCCCTGTTGCCGCAGTTCTTCGGTTGGTGGTGGCCCTGCTTCGGTTAGAGCGCCCTGTCCATCGTACTACTGGCTCGGGGTCTCTCAACCATTATCCAAGCCTCCCCTGCGGGAGTGTCTTTACCTGTCTTCTGGCCGGGTTAAAGGAGTTGAAGCCTCCTTTAGGACCATATCCTGGTCAGACGGCTGCCCATTATCATCGTGTTGGTCGTCATCGCGGTACGAGTCGATTCCAAAGTCCCAATACTGGGACTCCGACTCATACAGGTAGCTGGCTTCAGGTGATGTTCCGTCGCTCACGGTGTTGAAGGGAAGGTAAAGGTCGAGGAAAGACGTACGAAGTTGTAGCTTGCACAAGAGTTGGTAGGAGGGCGCTTATTACGATGTGATCCTAAATACGGTTTGGCTAAGCAAACAATTGCACAGTCCCGGAAAAGATCGCATTTTGTACAATCGATGGGAAGTTCTATCGTTGAAGATGCGTGCAGAATTAATCACACCCCTCATTTTCGTGCGATATTAATGAATCTCGATTGTAACACCCTCCACGTACGAGTTGGGTTCATGAGACTATGCCCTTCCAGTTCAATCTTTATAAATATCCCAATTTTGAAGTCGCCACAGGTGTAGTGATCCTCCGTGAATCAAGGTGGGTAATGTTTAGTTATCATACCAAGCATAGCTTACAGACAACTACTAGAGATAGCCAGCCTTTTAGCACACACAGCCGAAGCTTCACAAATCACTCACATTGCAATGGAAAATGTCTACAAGACACAAACGGTGACACTGTGGTATGAGATTCACAGTTGATCGATTCTTTCAATTACCAATCCAAAGCAAATCCATACTTCTTCCATGCTATTTAGGCCGTAAAATCTATTTACGAAATCGAAGTGAGTCTAGAACGTGATCCTATGTGACTCGATCGATACAACTTCGAACGACGTACACGTTTCCTCTATAAATCGCTTTTGAACCAAACGCACAAAGGTTTTTTATTGAATGATATCATGTATGGAGGATTTTGTTGGACGAACTTAGGTTTTTCCTTTTAGACATATGAAACGTTTGGCGGTGATCCGAGTCACCGCAAAAAAAAGTCGTTCATGGGAATTATTTATTTTTTTATATACCTATTTTTGGTCTATCCAAGAGTCGTTCCGGTGGTTCCACTCGGTGAACTCATGAGCAACCAGGCTGCTGATCACAACACTCCTGTACCCAATCAGACTGGAGTCATAGATGGGATGATCAGCACCAGTCGTGTTGATGAAGACGGTAGAGCGCAGCGTCGAACCGGTGGTCCTGGGGGCTCAGCTCAGACGATACCAAGTCGCCGTCGAGCGGTTTCACGTAAGTCGTCACCTATAGATCGTGCTCGCGAGACACTTGGAGAAGAGACTGTCCGTCAACTACAACAAACTTACCGATCGTTGGATTCTACATGGTCCGAGCACGACCAGGCTGAAGGTATGGTTCTTAGTTTAAGTCGGCAAGGTGTTGCAGACGCACAAATACGCGCCATTTTCGGAGTTGGAGGCTCAATGATACAGAGATTAAAAGGAGTGATTAAAAACGGCATTGATACGCTGCACACACGTCACCGCGGTACTACTCCAAAACATGCATTCAGTGAAGACGACGTATCCTTTTTTATTTCATCTTGTGCAGATTGGGAGCTTGAAGACGGGTTTCCGTGCTCACATCGGCGTCCTAGGCAATATTTTGTGGAGCCGAAGATTACATGGAAGTTACTATGGGAAAGGTATAAGAAGAAAGCAGAGGATGCTGAGCGAAGAGTAATCCAGTACTGCAGGTGGACTCAGTACGTGCATCTTCATTACTCTGGTGTGCGACTTTCCCGTACCAAAGAAGACTTTTGTGAAGAAACTACATCAGACGCAACTAAAGGTCAGGATCGTGTCACTACGCGGAAGGCAGCACCAGGAGCGCAGCCTCCAGCTAAGAAACCTGTTAAACGGCCACAAAAAGTGCAGCCCCGGCCTTCGAATCCATCTATACTCTGTTTCTTCAAACCAAGATAAGTGATTAACTTCGTATATTAAAAAAATTAAAAGTATCTTTAAATTATTTTTGAGAGCCGGGTCATTATGGTGACCCGGGTCACCGCCAAACGCTTCAAATGTCAAAACATCCGCAAAAACAGCTTGTCCTTGTTGACGTGTTGGAGCACGCTATTGCGATTGTACCGTAACAGAGACACTTAGACAGATTCCTGTCGGAAGATAGAGGCTGACTGTAAGCTTGTTAGTAAGAACTAAGCCACATGCATTTAATTTGATTCCACAGTGCATTTGAAACATATCGTTAAGGTGCTTCAGCTAGGATATACTCATGAACTCGAGTTTGTCCTGGGCGAAGTACTGCTCCAAATGCAGCAATATTTAGTGCTGTAGATTGCCAAAACGTGTCTCTGTAGGTCCAGTAAGTTCTATTACACGTTTAGTACTACTTTCGATGGTGTTTCAACAGCGATGTGGACCATCATTGATTTGCTGGTCGATATTTGACCATCAGAATGTGGCAATTTTTGGTATCACCTATTATGGCCAGTATAATAATTATACCGCACTTCAAACCCGTATTTTGCACGATAACCTTAGAAAAATTACAAGTCCCGTACTATTATTTATGGCAGAGAATGTAATGTTGAATTTGGATTTTGTAGTTAGCAATTCGAAATCCATAATTTGCATCATATCCCGCCGTATTAATTGATGGAGAATCATTTCTGGGCGTTACGACTGTTTTCACAGTTGGAATTCATATT